GAGTGAATATGCTACAATAAGATATTTTGAGGGGGAGACAGACTGCAGCCACATAACTTTTATTGTGGTATATTGTTATAATTGGTATAATTTTATTATTAGATATTGTTAATCTCATACTGTGCCTGATTTATAAATTAAACTTCATCATAGGTATGTATGCATGCATGTATGTATGTATGTATGTATAGGGAAAACATAGTATATATAGGATTTAGTATTAACTGCAGTTTCAGGTACCCATTTGGGTCCTTGAAATGTATGTCCCACAGATAAGCAGGGATTACTGTATAATTAGCATCAATGAATTAGTCTAGCAAGTTTTTTGCACACAGATTCAATATCCAAAAATTGTATTTCTCTACACAAGGAATAAACAATTCCAAAATGAAGCACAAAAAGATGGCATTTATAGTACATCAAATAATCCATGAAACTAATTCTAAAAGAAAAGATACACAATTATTGTAGAAAAATCTATAAAATATTATGGAGAGAAATTAAAGACCTAAACAAATAAAGCGATATGTAATTTTTATGCATGGGAAGACTATGTTGAAGTAATTGTAGTTATTTACCATATTGATCTATAAATGCCAGGCAATCTCAAATGATATTCCATTTATTATCTATTTAACAGAAAATACATTAATTTTAACATTTATTTGGAAATGCAAATGGTCAAAGATAGCCAAGGCATTCTTAAATAAAAGTAAAACAAGATAGAAGGATTTATTCTACTATTTATCAAAAATTTTATGAATCTATAGTAACTAAAACAATTTGATATTATTTCAAGAATATAAAACAGACTAGTGGACATAATTTTTAAGATCTAGAAACAGACTTGAGCAATAGTAAAATCTTGACTTACAAAAAAACAGTTCTTCTGAGCAATGGTGAAAGGAAAGTATTTTCAAAAATGGTCTAGGATCAATTGGATATCCACATTTTATAAAGAGAAACTTGGCCCTTTCTTTGTAGCATACATAAAAATTATGTTCATATGAATTGTAGATATATATGATTGATAAAATAATAAAGCTACAAGGGTAATTTATTAATTTTATGAGTCCAAGAATAGGATTCCACTTCAATATAATTTCTTTTTTTATAATGCTATGTATTTTATTTTATTTGCTTAATTATTCTGAGAGGTACTCACAGTCTTCCTCAGTCTCTCAATAGGAACTGTTGATAAAAAAGTTCATGAATTACTATAGGTCAATACAAAAATATAGTTAAGATATTGGGTTAGGGAAAACTTTGTTAAATAAAACTCAAAAAGCAGAAACCATTAAATGCAAACTAATTAATGGACTCTATTAAAACTTAGGTACTCTTTTTTTTATCAAAAGGCATCATTAGGAGAGTAAAAATGCAAGCCACAGATTGGCATGCATAACTGTTAGAAACTGTTATTTAGGATATATAACATATTCCTTTAAATTAATAAGAAAATGACATATCAATAGAATGTTGAGCAATAATCTGACCAGACATTTTGCATAAGATCTAAACTCATTACCTATCAGGGAAATACATGTTAAAACAAAAATGAGGTACTAGTACAAACCCTCAAATATTATTGATGGTAGTGTAAATTATTACAACTGGCTTTGAAAACTAGCATTGTGTATAAAGCTCAACATATACATACCTGATAACCAGCACAGGCACACCAATAGACATGTATAATAATGTTTATAATAACAATACTTGAATCATGAGGTAAGAGGGCCAATTAGAAGCAGCTGCAGTCCACAGCACTCACAGAGAGGAGGGAAAAGGGGAGCATGAATTCAGCACCTTCAACTAAAATATCCAGGTTCTCACATTGGGACTGACTAGGCACACAACTTGTCCCATGGAAACAAAGAAAAATGGGGTAGTAGGGTGATGGCCCACTTGGGAGCAGCACAGACAAAGGAAAATGTGGTACACATTCACCATGGAATACAATGCAGCCACAAAAAGGAATGAGGTGATGTACTTTACAGAGATGTGGATAAAGTTGGAAGACATTATCATCAGCACGCTAATGCAGGAAGAGTAAACCAAACACCACATGTTCTCATTTACAAGTGGGAGCTGAATAAAGAGAACACGTGGACGCATGGTCGGGAATGACACACATTGGGCAACTGTGGGGGCTGAGGGAAGGGAGAGCATCAGGAAGAATAGCTAATGGATGCTGGGCTTAATCCAAGGTGATGGCATGATCTGTGCAGCAGACCACCATGGCGAGTGTTTACGTATGTAACCACCTGCATGTCCTGCACGTGTACTCCTAAACTAAAGATAAAAGTTGAAAAACATTTTAAAAAGGGAAAGGTCAAACAAGAGGAATGCAGAACCTGGGATCATTTTATTTTCATATATAATACACATATTACTGTATATAATTTATGGTCCTAGTTTTCACATGGGAAAGTATCATGAAAAATGTGCTGTCTTCATTTTCAACCTGACAGTGTTTAGGCTTGTGTGCTTCCTAGTCAAGTGTTTATGTTTGTTCTTGTATGTACTAGCAAACAGGGTATCAAATGCTTTGTAGCTGTTTGTGCTGAAAAAAAAAAAAAAGAAAGAAAAGAAAAAACAATGCTCACCCCCAAATCCAAACATCTCTCAAAGATCAAATGGATAGCGTGAATTAAATTTAAATGTGAATGAAGGAACCGCTATGCTGGATGAATCTCACAAATATATTGAGGGAAAGAAGCCAGACACAAAGTAATACATAATATTTAATCCCACTTACAAAAAAGTTTAAAAATAGATAGAGATAAAGCTAATCTATGGTTTTTACAGTTAGGATAATGGTTAACTTTGAGAAGGAGGGAATGGCTCAGGAGGGGGTACCAGCAGCACTTCTGGGATCCTGGCAATGATTCATTTCTTAATTCGGAGGTAGTTACTAGGTTTCCTCATTTGGCATAATTCAGTGAGTCACACACTTAAGTTTGTGTACTTTCTATATGTGCATCATAATTTAATTAAAATGTTTTAAAATGTGCTAAGAAGCTGACTGGAAACAGTGCATAAAAACAGAGCTTGTCAATCAGTAAGCTTTACTGCAGGTGAGTATTCATAGTTGTTTTTAAATAGGGACACCCCAAATGTCAACAATTGAAAAACTTGTTTTAGGAGGAAATTAATGAGAATAAATTTGCAATAGAACCATTTCCAAAAGCTGCAGGTAGATTAGACAGGTGTGGAGGGTGTTCCACAGTTGGCATGACATGGGAGAGTGGAGGCTTAGTAAATATAAACATTTGCCTTGCTCCATGGTGAGTGAATGGGTCAGGATTTATAAAAGAGACTCAAAAGGAAGGTAGAAAATATAGCACTATACAACAGAACTTCCCTGGAGGAATTCTGGGGAGATGTAAAGAAATACATTAAAAGAGGCCCAATTTAAAATACTCATGGATTATTTTTTTTAAAACATAACAATTTCTATGAAAGGTATATCAGTATGGCCCTAGTCTGCTCCTATTTGAGTATTCATAACATATAAACTTTTAATCAAATAGAAAACATATATTCTAAAACTTGCTTTTACTTAAAAATATATATATTTTATGTTTTTCCTACATAAATACATGCCTCAGTGATTTGATGTGGTATGTAGTTTTCTTTTTTTTTCTTTCTTTCTTTTCTTTTCATTTTTTTTTTTTTTTTCTGAGACAGGATCTTGTTCTGTTGCCCAGGCTGGAGTGCAGTGGCACGTTCTTGACTCACTGCAACCTCCGTCTACTGTATTCAAGCAATTCTCCTGCCTCAGCCACCTGAGTAGCTGGAATTACAGGTATGTGCCACCACATCTGGCTAATTTTTGTATTCTTGGTAGAGACAGGGTTTCATCATGTTGGCTAGGCTGGTGTCCAACTCTTGACCTTGTGATCTGCCTGCCTCGGCCTCCTGAAGTTCTGGGATTACAGGCATGAGCCACTGCCCCTGGCCCAGGTATATAATTTTAAATTGCATCAGAGTATTTTAATTCTTTTAAATAATCTATTAACAGATATTTCATTCATTTGTTCATGTATATATTTCTTCATCCATGTAAAAACACTTCCTCAATTTAGGAATAGATCTGAGTGACTGGAAAATAGTTTGAATAACCACTGTTATTTTACACATGTGCACAACTATTGTGGATAAGCCAGGAATGTTAATAACGTGAAACCAAGCAATGACTTAGAATTGAGAAAAAATATTGTATTTCAAAGAGGAGATATACCAGAGACTTACTCTGTGGGTGACACTCTTGTGGGAACTGTCTATAGTGATAAAACTTCCCCTTCTTGTGATATGATAGGGGTGTGGGATGTAGAAGCCATCGTGGTAAGGGAAGTATAGCCTTTCTAGCCTTCACCTTTTTACATATACCTGGGCATTCTAAGCAGCAGTTCTACAAGGGGTTGACTGCTCCCTTTCCAATAAAAAAGGCACAAAATAAAGAAAAGCCACCCAGATTAAGATATAGAATATGATCAGTAGTGCTCCTTCTTCCTTCGTGCTCTCTTTTTCATCTATCTCGACCCGTAGAAATAATTACTTTCCTTGATTTTACGTTTATTACTCCCTTGTCTTTAAAATATATTCTTATCAGACATTTTTAAACAATATATCATTTATAGTATCTTGCTTTTGAAATTTATAGAAAGGATAAGAAATGATACATTGTATTAAGTTTCCTGTGGCTTAGTTTTTAAATAAAATTTTTTTTCTGAGATTCATCTATGTTGTTACATGTTGCTATAGTTTATTATACAAAACTACATTGTGTACAGATGTCATAATTTATTTATACATTCTCCTGTTGCTGAATATTTGTGTTGTTTTTATTTTCCATTTAATAAACACTACTGCTATGAATATATATATGTGTGTGTATATATATATGCATACATACACACACACACACATATATATAGATATATATATATAAATGAACGTGTGAAAGAGTTTCTCTAAGATGTATTTCTAGGGATATGGGATGGGTGGCCAGCTGTGAAATGAATGAATGGTCACAGCAGATCTGCAGGTAGGAAGGAGTCTCAGTAAATATGAATATAGAACTATTTGGTGAAAATTTCAAGGACAGAGTGAATATTTTCCACTTTCTCAGAGATATTAGAGTCTGGTGATACTGGAAAGTTCAAGTAGCCCAGGATGGAGTGCAGTGTGTGATTTCGGCTCACCGCAACCTCCACCTCCCAGGTTCCATAGTAACATGGGTTGTGTTGGCAGTATGGCAGTTTCAAAAAATTAAACATGGAATTACTATTTGATCCAACAATTCCACTACTGGGTATCTATTCAGAAGAATTGAAATCAAAAAATTAAATATATATTTGTACACCAACATTCATAGTAGCATGTTCACAATAGCCAAAAGATGAAAATTACCCAAAGGTCCATCAGTGAATGAGTGGATAAGTAGAATGTGGTATACATGTAATAGAATATTATTCAGTCTTGAAAAAGAAAGGCTGGCACATGCTACAACATGGAAGAATCTCAAAGGCATGCTAAGTGAAGTAAGGCAGAAACAAAAGAACAAATGCTGTATGAATTCACTTATATGAGATAGCTAGAGTACTTAAATTTATAGAGATGGAGAGTAGAATGGTAATTGCCAGAGGCTGAAGAAACTCTGTACCAATTTAAAAAACTGTTTTTTAATTGGTGCAGAGTTTCAGTTTGTGAAGATTTTCATCTTCTGGAGGGAGATGGTGCTGATGGTTGCACAACAGTGTAAATATACTTAATATTGCTGAACTGTACACCAAAAACTGGGTTAAATGGTAAATTTTATTTATATTTTAGTACAACAAAAATAAGTTGCATGACACTAAAATAACTCTAACTTATAACCATATTTACAAAATCAGCAGTAACTTTAATTTTTGTTGTTCTTCTCCACTGTTCAAATGTGGTTAAGTATGTGAGTAAAATTTGTAAAAAAGTATAACCAAATATATGTGTGTATATGTGCATGTGTTGTGTACACACACACGCGCACACACACACACACACACACACACACACATATTCTCAATACCTGCCAGAGTTCCTTATAAGAAACTGTGAATAGGATAGACAATAACATTTCTAGTTATATTTGTATTTTGCATGAGCTTGTTTGCACACACATATAACCTAATTCAAAAACATAACCTGAAGATCAATTCAGTGAAAAAAAATAGTCAAACTTACTCTAACTTATTATTTATTGATTAGCCAGACATCCCAAGATGATAGTGCCATAGCTAAAAAGAAATATTACTCTGTATCAGGTAACACAACTTTAATCAAAGAACATAAAGCCCACTGCTTCCTTTATAAGCATATTGCAGGGTTCAATATTGCAAAAGCCAGAAATTATTTTCCTTATGTCTATGTTAAACAGTTTTGTTTTGAATTAGGCATCCTTATTAGTAAGCATTAATTTTTATAAAGTAGAATATAATTTGAGGCAGCTTTTGTCAATAGTTCACTGCCCTCTCCATCTCATTAGATAATTTCTTTGTCATCAGTTTGCGTTTGTAACACTACCCAGTCAGTCTCATCAATGACTTTCATTAAGAACTTGTTTACTTCTCTTTCCAAATCATTAATAATGTTGTTAAATAAAAACAAACCAAACAAAGGACTTCTTGGCAGCCTATCCAACACCAAATCTGAACTGAAAATAGAACCATCTTTTATTCTTTGCTTATAGACTTTCATCCTTTATTCCATCCATTTGATGGTACTTTTATATAGGTCAATTAGAATTAATTTTGTTAGTTGCATTTCATGATGTTGTGAACTCCCATCTCATTTAATATAACAATTTTCCCAGAGTAGGGCTCTGGGAGGTAGCAGTGCACGAAGAGAGAAAATGCTCCATTTTAGAAGGGCAACATGTTTCAATGCTATATAAATTCATTATAGATCAGGTAGACGTTGAAGGAGTAAAGAATACACGTGACTTCCTCAGACTAAATGTTGTGATGAATAATTTGATGGCAAAATAAGGGCATTACAGAGGTAGAATTAGGGAAATGGACAACAGTTGAGGGAGATTATCATTATCGTAAGCAGATACTTTTAGATAGAATATTATTGGCTCTAGGTTATTGATGACCCAAAGAACTTTTGTAATTATGGAAAGATTCTGTAATCTGCACTGTTCAGTAGAAGGGAGTAGCTTGTTTATGATTCTCAAGGATTGTCCTGGGAGAGCTACAACTAAAGATGTGAAGTTTTAATTTTATCAAACTTTAATTCATTTAAACTGATGTAGCAGATGCACACAGTGGCTCATACCTGTAATCCCAGCATTTCGGGAGGCCAAGGCAGAATGATCACTTTAGGCCAGGAGTTTGAGACCAGCTGGGGAAATACAGCAAGCCTCCATCTCTACCAAAAAGAAACAAACAAACAAACAAGAAATTAGCTGGGTATGGTGACATGCACATCTATACTCCCAGTTACTCAGGAGGCTGAGATAGGAGGATCACTTGAGCCCAAGTGGTCTAGGCTGTAGTTAGCAATGTTCACTCCTGTAATCTCTAAAAAAAATTACTTAAATAGCCACATATGACTAGTGGCTACCATGTTGGACAGCACAATTCTAGAGCTTTAGAGCAGCTACATTACAGGCCAAAGAGGAGAAAACAGGGACTTCCTGGTAGAAGATAGTTCTAATGTAAACCCCAGAATAAGAGCAGCCAGGTAAAGAGTTCTTTAGCTTTCTTCCTCTATGATACAATCATAGTCAATAAATGAATTGGAAGCAAGCATTTGCTCTGCTCCCAGTGTGGTGAAGTGCAACTCCCTTCATACCAAACTCATCAGAAACTGAATAATGGTAAATGGAGCAAAGAAAATGAGAAATTTTCTTCAAGTAATGATTAAAAATATCCTGAAATCAATGATTAGTCACCATGTTTTGTATGTACCTACTAATATTTAAATTATGTTTGAAAAATATATGCCCATCACACCTTTCTTCTAGATTGCATGCATTCTTTCATATTTATTGTAAAATATTACACTAATATATATTATTGCTTTTAAGTAGTGTTCATTTTTTATTACTGTCCAGATGTCTTTTATTTGTTTCCTAATAATTTAAATCAGATTCTTGTTTCCTTTCTCTTTCCCAATTCTGTTCTTAACCGTGCTGCTATGGTGCTGTGATTTCATCTACACCTCCTCAAAAATAGCAGATCCCTTAAGCTTTTTATTTATTAAGGGAGTGCAATTAGTGTAATATGCATGAATTACAAAAGACTTTGCACCCAACTGAAAGTTTTATAGAAGAGCTTATAAAAAATTATTGCAATTGTTATATTGCAGAGGCAATTGCTTTCCACAGGGAATAATCAGAGGCCTTATATTACTAAACATTTTTATCTCTGGCTACACAATAGAGTTTACAAGGCAAATGACAATGGACAATTTGAGTTTATATCTGGTCATTTCTGCTATCTAGAATTTGTGGCTGTGATTCTAAACACGTACATGAAAATGTTTATATGTCCATAAACTGTCTTTTCCTTTGGATAAACAGGTAGGAATAGAATTGCTGGGTATAAGTGTACACTTAAATTTATAAGAAACTACAAAACTTTTTCTAAAATTTCTGTATTACTTTTCATTACCATCAGTAATGTATGAGAGTCCCCATAGCTCTGCCTCTTCAGCCGTACTTGGTGTCGTCAGCTTTTAAGTTTAGCTAATGAGCCTATTGTGATACCTCACTGTGGATTTAATTTGCATTTTCATGTGATGAATGATGTTAGCATCTTTTCATGCCATCAATATCTCTTTTGTGAAGTGTCTCTTGAAATATTTTGCCAACATTTTAAATTGGGTGATTTGTTATCCTATTCTCACTTTATGAGAGTTTTTTTTTATGTATTATGACTAAAAGTTCTTTTTCAATCATGTGCTTGCAAATATTTTCTCCTAATCTGTGCTTTGCCTTTTTATTTTCTTAATAGTGTCTTTTGAAGAGCAGTTTTTGTTTTTATGGTTCCAATTTACCAGTTTTTTAATGAATTGTGATTTTTCTGTCCTCTCTAAAATACTTTGCCTAATTTAAAGAACTTTGACAAAATTCAACAGCCCTTTATGTTAAAAACCCTCAATAAACTAGGGATTGATGGATTGTATCTCAAAATATTAAGAGCTATTTATGACAAATCCACAGCCAATGTCATATCGAATGGGCAAAAACTGGAAGCATTCCCTTTAAAAAATAGCACTAGACAAGAATGCCCTCTCTCACCATTCCTATTAAACATAGTATTGGAAGTTTTGGCTAGGGCCATCAGGCAAGAGAAAGAAATAAAGGGTATTTGAATAGGAAGAGAAAACATCAAATTGTCCCTGTTTGCAGATGACATGCTTGTATATTTAGAAAACCCCATTGTCTCAGCCCAAAATCTTCTTAAGCTGATAAGCAACTTCAGCAAGGTCTCAGGATACAAAACCAATGTGCAAAAATTTCAAGCATTCCTATACACCAATAAGAGACAAACAGAGAGCCAAATCATGAATGAACTCCCATTCACAGTTGCTACAGAGAGAATAAAATACCTAGGAATACAACTAACAGGGGACGTGAAGGACTTCTTCAAGGAGAGCTGCAAACCACTGCTCAAGAAAATAAGAGAAGACACAAACAGATGGAAAAACATTCCATGCTCATGGTTAGGGAGAATCAGTATTGTGAAAATGGCCATACTGTCCAAAGTAATTACAGATTCAATGCTATCCCCATCAAGCTACCAGTAACTTTCTTCACAGAATTGGAAAAAACCACCTTAAACTTCATGTGGAACCAAATAAAAGCCTGCACTAGCCAAGACAATCCTAAGCAAAAAAGCTGGAGGCATCATAGTACCTGGCTTCAAACTATATTACAAGGCTACAGTAATCAAAACAGCATGGTACTGGTACCAAAACAGAGATATAGACCAATGGAACAGAACAGAGTCCTCAGAAAGAATGCCACACAACTACAACCATCTGATCTTTGACAAACCA